AAATCTTGTACTTTGAGTAGCACTGCGGCTCCTCCTCCCTTGAAAATTGCATTCCGTGAAAGAGTTCTCAATTTGGGGAAAACACATGAATCGGTTACAATAATCACACCATGAGATTGTTCGCACATTCCTAAGAGTCGATAAACCCTTGGCAATCGTTATACTCGTGCCTCGACCGTCTCGAAACCTCCATTTTCAAATCCCCAATCCCACACTTAAATAATAAACATTAGTAGTGCAATTTAAACCAAAACATAAAACATGACCAAAGAAAGCAACCGGAAAGTTGTCAGTCTTTGAATTATCATACAATATCATGTCACATTGAGAATTTAGAACGCATACCAGTTGCTGTGTGAGGAAGGTACAAGATGAGACCGCCAGAGGGGTTGTCATGTAGAGCCGTGACAATCCTCGTACCACCTAAGGCTTTTACCTTTTGCCACCCATTACATTGCAGTGACTGAGTTAAAACAATTTCCGAGGCGAGAATTATCAAATACAAAAAATTCTTCCATCCGTTTTGCATATATATTCTATTTCTCGGCGTTTCTGAGCATATTGTAGTTTTGTCTGAATTAGTAGGAGAAGCAGGATTCCCCTGCAGATGGGCAAGGGAGATTGGAGGACCGATACACCAGAGAGAGAATTTATGATTTACAGTGGACGTTACACTATGCTTCCGCCAAAACCAAACACGGCCTAGTTGGTGGCTGTTACAACGAGGATATTGGGAAATGGAATGAAGCCCAAACCCTATAATTATTAGGCCCCCTATCTACTATATATCCAAAATTTTTATAATTAATAAGAACAATTGTGCCCATCAACTTTAAACTTCCAACTATTACAAATTATTGAGATCTCGATGGGTCGGATAAAACTTACCACATTACTGAGATAGTATCATTCAAATTGGTCCCTTAACTCATCAAAATAGCGTGCGAGGATTAATTAGATACATTTTCGATAGCTCATTAGAAATTCCGAATACAAAGAGGATCAAGTTGAAAGAGATCATATCTAGCACGTTTATTTTTATCTCTGGTATATCCATATTTGCTTCTTACATTCACTTTCAAGCCTCACACATATTCACATCCAACCCCATAGAAAGATAAAATAGTGACTGTGACACACTGCCAATCAATATGTGTGGCACCTCCATAATTACGAAAGTCTCTACAACCAAGGAAATAGACGACAATGGACCATAGTTAGCATGTATTATTAATGAGTTAAGAGACCCCCTAGGCTCACCAAATGAGCATTTTTACGATTGAGGGGACCATTCTATCAATTCACTGTTAAAGTCTCGCTCCATATTATGTTCTACAATCCTCATGTTCTCCTCGATGTCTATGTAGCACATCAAGAGTTTGAACTGTGCACCTCGCAATTCGGAAAAGAACTACACCACTCACCTTTATAAATATAGGAAAAATATATCCTTGTATTGTAATACATCTAGTCGAGAACTCTCCTCAGGATTATTCAATATAGAATATATATCTTAGTGTATCTGTGAAGTCAAGCTGCGTCACAGTTTTCATGACCTTCGACTCACACTCCGCTAAACTGAGTGAACGGAGAGAGAGCATAGGCGTTCTTGTCAGAAAGTTCTTTCGCAGGTCCGGCCCAAATGAGGAAAGAGGCGTAAGGGTAGATTTAATGGTCCATTAGACTCTATAGCAGCATAAAAACGGCAGAATTCCATCTTTCCCAACCCTCCATTATAGACATGAATGGTATTGTGCTACATAGATAATCCTAGGACCTAAGGTCCATACAAAACAAATACTGACCGGTGAGATCCATATGTTAGTCCCTAGAGGAATAGTCCGAAGCGAAATAGCTCTGAGGCAGCGCTACACTTGAAGTCATATATTCATCTGGTCCTTATACGAATATAAAAACTTCGTACCCTCCCGACTTCCGCAGATAACAAAGGGAAGAGAAGACTACGGGAGTTTGCTGTGCTAACTTTGCTAAATGAGACAAGAGCCCAGTCGAGATAGCATAATTACGCACTGACAAGTCGCTATGGCTGGCCGAAGAGAGGCAAGCTGCCTTGCAGTGATGAGATCGCCACAAACAAGCCTCCCTGGCCTCAAACGAGGAAAGAGTACTGTAGAACTCGCCAAGACTATGTTAAAGGATACCCTTAAATTAAACTTGCATAAGGAAGAAATTTTCAGCAGTGCATTTAGCCACTCGCCCTGTCACTCCACCAGACCCGTTTATTAGGGTACACGTTTACAACTCAGCCGCCATTTGTGCATCGGCCGTACGCTTCAAGCACAACGTCCAAGCCTCCGGTTCGATGTGACGCGCGGATTCCTATCGTTCTGTGTCCTAATACCACCTTGGACCATCCGTCAGCCATTGAGGGGTCTCGGCGGGGAACCATTCCACTCTCTGCGCGGACAGAACCCTCTCTCCATGCATCACCCCATACGCTGATGCAAACAAAGAACAGTGATACTCTCTAATCTCCAGAACCTCTCCAACCACCCTCCAAACAGACAAGAGAGATCACATTAGAATCATAATTATGCTCAGGTATTTTTATTGACTATCTTTGCACTTTTTTCCTCTAGTGTTTTAAATTACGTTCTCATCCATTTGAGTTTAGTTACTTTCCGTCCCAAATGCGTGGACTCGGGTCAGGTTCCTTTCATAGTTGGAATTTTTTTTAAACAAAATTGCTGATTCCGCCTGCTTAGAAAAAGTATATCAATAATTGATAGCTTTAAGTCGTTGTTAAATTAAGAACTCTTAAAAAAGAATTAGTACTTCTAAAGCGTTCGATCAGAGAAAATGTGAACATGTTCCTTCACGCAACCAACTCCTTTAATAAAAACTAATTTTTCATTCATAAACTAGATGCACAATGTGAAACTTTTTTTATGCAATGAGCATAGGATAATAGCCAAACTATGAAACAAATCTAAATATATCAAACCTATTGATCTCTTATATTATCCGACACGTGATTAGTTTTGACGGAAGTTCGCCTTAACGAGTAATGCTCTACTTTTTGTCAAATTCCAGCAATAATTTTAATTAATTTATAATTTAGAGACCAAGGCTACTATTCTCCTATTTACTATTTTTCAAATAAGAAGGATTGGACTAAACCGAAAACAAAACGAAACTGCAAGGACAAATATGTATTAAAAAATCTACAAAAACAGTGAAATCTAGTTAACTACGGAGAGTAATTGCAATCTAATCCCCAACACATCGATCCCAACTGAAGAAAAAGAAAAGAGAGATAAGAATCCAGAGAGGTTTGCTTACTGAGGAGTGCATCTTCCTGTTGTTCTTGTGAAGAGAAATCCTGGCCGTTGGTTTCTGGCTGTTGTTGCGGGAACAGAGCAGGCAACAAGTAGCAGAAGAAGAAGAACGAGTTGACTCGGTTGAACTAAGATTTGCTTCATTTTTGGTGGTGGGGTTTCTGTCTGTCTTCTGTTTGGGATCTGAGTTGATATGGAGCTTGACTTGGTTTCAAACTTGGTCTGTCTTTACCAACACTGGTAGACTGGTACTTGTTTTTTAAATACAACTGGTTCGGTTCTCAATACATGTTGCTGTAGCCTGTACCCATGGTTCTATGTTTTATGGAGATTTGGTTCGAATGTGGGGGGTGATATTGTCTTTTGGTGCACGTGCTGAAGAGCTTTGGACTCGAGAGTGTTGGAACCTTTTCCTTTTTTTTTTTTTGGTTCAAATGAGAGTGTTGGAACTTGGTTGTGCTTTTCATTGAAAACACTACAACACAAGGGGAACTATGCGTTGCTTACAACAAACGGGGAACTATGGGTATCGCCTTGGGATTGAATTTTTTTTGTTATTGTTGGATCTGATTTCTTGGAATCAATCTCTTGCTTTAGGGGTAAGATAACAAATGGTAGTTGGGAGGTTTTTCTTGATGTGACCAAGAGCAAGAAACTTGGAGAATCCTTTCAAGGCCGTCATTGGTCTTGGATACCAAGATCAGCCAATGTAGCGGCAAACCACTTGGCACTGCGAAGATGTTTGGAGATGTGTGACATTACCTGGGTCGATAGACCCTCATCTTCACTTGTTCATGTTCTAAACAATGATGGGTCACATTGCTCTCCTTAAATTTGTATTGGTAGTGTAAGGGGTGACGTTTTTAGCTATGCTTGTAGCGTCTAGTTCCCTTTCACCCCCTTGCACTACCCGGTTTGTTATTATGTTGCTTGTCTCGCTGTAGCCTTTCATTATGTACTTTTGACACTTTTGCCTTGGTTTTAAGAATTTCCAATTCACCAAAAAAAACAAAAAAACAAAAAAACAAAAAAAACAAAAAAAAAAAAACTAACTAACTAACTATGCGTGGGCACGGTCGGGCCGGATCCAGCTCAAATTTAAAGAAACCAGACCCGACTTATTTGTAAATAAAACAAGTTGGGGGCAGGTCGTGTTATTTTAGAACGAAAATTCGGCCCACGGTTCTTTTTTAGGAAAAAGAAGTTAATCTCAGACCAGTGCCCAAATTATGATGAATTGAAAGTTGTTAATTTGCAATGATCGAGCGAAAGCCATGTTTAGGGAAAAAAAGGAAAATTTCATTAGACAGGATTATCACATGCATAAGATTACACGTAGTACTTGTTTATTCAGTAGCTACGCACTCTCTCCTCTTAGATTATAGGGAAAAGGATCCGGATCATTTTTCTGGGGGTCTGAAGATCTTGTGATTATGATCATTCATCGTATATAACAAAAAATTAAATATAAATATTACATAACGAAAACTGATCGCACGGTACACGTTGAATGATCACGATCACGAGATTCTTAAGATCCTCAAAAAAAGAATCCGGCAAATATCCTTTTCCAGATTATAGTAGTATAAAGTCATATAAGGCTTTTTTTTTTTTTTATTTAATTACTTTCACTCTCTTCCCTTCATAGCCCCAAAAAACACTACGTGCCGCACTCACTACTCCCATACGTCCATCGTACATTTACGCAACTACCCTCCTCTGGAAAGACTGGCTGGAGCTCAAGGCAATGGTTTCCTGCCTATTGTAATTGTACTTGAGCTGATGGGCCTGCTGGCGCTGAATCTGGTAGGCGTTGGCGAGCACCTCCAGCGGCAGTGCGCGCAGTATGGAAGTCCGGCCAGCTAGAGTGCTGATCATGGCGTTGTCGTTGGTCTTGAAGGCGATGTACTCGAATCCCTCGTTGCCGGCCTGCGTGATCACTCCGTGGTTCTGAGGCACGATGAACAACTGTCCCTCCTGCACTTGGTCGTCCAAGATCGGGTTGCCGTTCTCGTTCACGACCTGAACTCTAGCGCTTCCTCTGATCACGTACACCACTGAGTGGGCGTTTATTCCCCTCGTGAGTTTTCAGGTATTAGATTACTTATTCCAATATCCATTCTACATGTCACGTAAATGAACATACCACAATATCTAATCCATCTTTTATCCCTTTTTATGATAAATAATAATCAACATATTGATGCACATAGTTGCAGTATCACTAATAATATCTTTTTAATTAGTAGATAAATAAATAAATAATTAGTGTACGTAGTACTGGAATGTTGTCAAGTTGCAAAATCCTAATGCAGCAAGTTATACTACATGAATTAGTTATTAATGTTATATTCTAGCTAGTCTCTAGATCACAAATTTATAATTTACGCATATAATAACATCTAAATTAACTATACTACGTCAAGATGTTCCATAAAATATGTTTTTGTAAAGGTTGGAGTAATCTTCATCATTTAAGTTTCAGGTGCTAGCTAGGTGGAGAGGAAAACAAAGAAAAGCTCTAAAGTCGTTGCCCAGCCTTTAATCTTGGAGTCGGCAGCTATCATTCTTGATTTTTTTTTCTTTCTCTTCTCTGGGAGTGTTCACTCTCTCCGCTCTGTCGAGGAAAGCCTTCCTGCTCCTAGCTAGTCGATCTCCCCTTCGGTCGATGAGAGCTTTTTGTAGCGGTTATGACTTGCTCAATCTCGAATCTAGGAGTAAGACCGTCAATAGTTGTTCAAATTTGAGTGGTTTTGTGGTTTAAGCTTTTGGGAAATGATGTGAAGAGGAAGCTCGACGTTTGTTGGAGGTGACTCATCATAATAGAATCTTTTTGCCAACAAAGTACAAAATCATTAAAAGGTGGTGTAGTCTTTTCCATGGTGCCGTTGCGGTGCCTTGAAGGGTTCAATACTGCTAGGTTGTGTTGTGTGCGTTTTTTTGTTTGTGGTTTTGGCCTTGTGAATGTTATCTTTCCATATGGTTGGATGTGATTATGTTGTTGAAGTTTTGTACTCTTTTTTTGTTCCATTTATAATCGTGGAATTACACTCCATCCTAATGATGTTATTCGTTTTATTTGATTAGTGGAATGTTTTTATTTCCAAATTTTCAAGAGCTAAATAAATTTGAGGATCAGTGTTCTCCAAAATATGGTGATGTTTTGTGAATGTGACCATTAAATATGGTAGTCAGGTAGTCGTTGCTCTTTTGCAAACTAGTCTCTTGTATTCCTCTGCACTGTTATGTTTTGTTTTCTACAGAAATTAAAGTACGTACCAAACCACTGTTTAACTGTCAACCATTTTTTACTTTCCATGACCTAGTTTGGAGACCAGTTATTAAGAAGAAATAGCACGAATTAAGCTTTCAAAATAAGCAGAACTATCTACAAGGCACCAGCATGATCATGCTATATATTTTTCAATATTATACTCTAGGTTTGAAACATCATTTATGTCGTCCAATTACATTATAATACGTGAATTAGTAACATCAAATGACTTTTTTGACTATCACACTAAAATGTTTCTCCGATTTAAAAGTTGAAATTGAATTTATGGGGAGGTCATATTTAATGTTTAAAGTAATAGTACCTCAGCATCTGGTGTGAAATCACCATCTTCCTCTCTTTTGAGGCCACCATGCTAAGCTGGGAGTTCTTCTGGTTCTACAAACCCTTTTGGTAAATTTCCAAGCAAATTTGTGAGATAAAGGAACATAAATTAAGCATTCAAACAGTAATTAATAAAATTATGATATTATATAGGTTATATATAAATCTTACTTGAGAAGGGTTTTGGTAACATTTGAAGGCCTGGCAAACACAAACTTCATTTTGGTTCTTTGACTTAGGAGCCTTGATCTGAGCACATGCAGCAAATAATACTAAAGAGGAGCATTTATCACAATCTGCAAATTAATCAACCAATCTTATTTCAAAATTTGCGCATATATTTCACTATTTCAGTGTGACCATCACATCGTAATATATTATTAATCAATATAACCTCAAATTTGAGAGCACTACTTGCGTTCTTTTGAATGAGCTCTGGATAGTTTTCTTGGAGCAAAACTAGGGTTTTGTTGCTACGAGAACGAAGCTCATTCATGTCCGGCCCCGCGAGTTCTTCAAATCAGTAACGCCAACCATAGAATCCACTCCTCCATCCTTGCCCATAAAATGTGAAACACAAGGGGTGCCCTTCCTTGTCTAAAACACACGTTCGAGTTTTTCCATTTACGTACCACTTTCTATTTAAGTCTACCCCAATTTCAGTCCACCCTCATTTAAAATTTTATATTTTAATTTTTTATAAGAACACCACCATTTCAGTACAATCATCATCTTGACAATCAGATAGTAATTATATTAAATATAAATATTCACGTGAATATATTTGACCATCAAATGATGACGGTATCAAACAACAATTTATTTCCCTCTCCTCTATCTCTACACATGCTTTTCCTCCTCCTACATCGACGTCCTTGTTAAACAGACCTTGTAGCTTCAAATTTCTGCACCACCAATCCAAAATTGAATCTTTGGGTTGTCTTCAATCTCCATTATCACGCTTTCTTTAATTTCATGTGGATCTTGAAAAAAATCCAAGAGTTGCAATTCTGAGTTGTTTTTCTGATTCTCTTAATATTGTTTTTCAGAACCAGAATTACTATATATATATATATATATATATATAGAAATCACCTTCAAATCATATTCAACAACTTTTGGCATGCCAATCATATTCAAGCAAGCATTATTTAAGACAACGAGAAAAGAAGGGCAACAAATCTGAACTAATGAATTAGATTATGAAAAACGAAAATCGTATATGGACTAGAAATTTCAGGTGTTCAAAAATTGTTTTTCGATGCGCCTCAAAAATTTGCGTGCGTTTGTGTGGAGAAAGATGAACAATGCCCTCAAAAAATATTAGGGTTCGAGTGTGTGTGGATAGAAATATTATATGTTCAAAACCAGATTTTGAACCACATTATTTCTAGCTCATGGTGAGGCTTAGCATGTCCACCCTTAGTGTAGATAATATCGTTTGTTAAAAAAAAAAATATGCGTCTTTTTTTGTCTTTTCACACAATTAAAATTTTAAGAAAGTTAAACTTAACTGGTGGGGTGAACTTAGATGGGAAGTGACGTTTAAATAGAAATACTCTTATAATTAAGTATAAATCTCACCATTCGTAGCAATCAAATTTGAGGCCTCCTACTTACAATTGAAGTAGAATACTGCTAAAGTTGTATGTACCAGTGCCAAGTTTTTTCTTAATACATTTAATAGTATCTATACTAAGAGATGGGGAAGTGGACTAGATCTCATAATGTGCTAGTCATATAATTTGGTTCGAGAAATGCTACTAGACCATAGAACTAAGTAGACACAGTGTTAAGCTTTTAGAAGAGCTAAAAAACGCTTTCGGATGAATAAAAGGACCTTATGTGGTATGCAGACTTTTAAAATGACTGGATTACACACTTTTTAGTGCTTTACAAATACACTTCACTGATTTTCCTAAAGACACTTCCAAATGGTTTTTTTCATTAATAGTTTTGTGCTCATTTAGGACAACGGTCTAATGATATTTCTCCACTTATAAATGAAAGACCTTAAGTTCAATTCTCGTTAAAAACAAACTTGAACCACATTATTGTGAAACATATTAAAAGACAATCAAGGGACATAATTAAGAGGAGAGTGCAAGAGGTAAAATGAAAATTGTAAAACCTCTCCCCGAAAGAAAAACATAAGTAAAAGAACAGTAAATAAGGTAAAGCTTATTGCTTTGCGGAAAAATAAAACATCATCCGTCTCGAAATCAAACATAACCAAAAGGAGTCATTTTTACATGCCTAACACATGAATCTATCGGCCGAATTCCAAGCCTAATTATAAAAGAACAATCCCAACAGCCACACAAATCTTATAATCTTTATGTACAGCGATTACATCAAATGTCAACGAAACGATCCGTATCTACATCATAAGCATGGTTATCTATCTGAAGCCTGGAGTAGCTGTATCACGACTCCCGATACTTGGTCAGGTCAAATGTCAGAGTTTCCGAACAGCTGCAATCAAGCAAACGCAGTTATTGCATTACTAAACCGTATAAAGTGAATTGTGAAAATATATTGATTCGTGTGAAGCTCACCTCCTTTCGCAGTCCCTGTAAACCCCAACTAAAGCATCAGCCTTGTCGTAGAAGCTATCTTTTAGAGAAATTACAATGCTCTGAAAACACCTCCTCCCTCATCATCTTGGTTAGCCCTGGCTCCTTCACGTGACTTTGAACGGATGAATCCAGCAACCTTAGCAACATTCAAGTTATCTAGTGCAGCATCGACTTCATCCAGTATGAAAAACGGTGAAGGCCTAAAACTGAACCCATTTATAAGAGGAAAGAGAACTATTAGTATACATTAGTATTGTGGCGATCTCCATATACACAGTAAGTTCCATCCCAAAACTTTCATGTGTGGTAGTCTGCTACACTTAAAAGGTAAATACTCTTCCATTCGTAATGAGTTAAGAGACACCTGTGTATGGAAAAGAGTAATGCCAATGCAGCAACGGTTTTCTCGCCGCCAGATAATTGTTCCATATCACGAAAGCGCTTTGTTGGGGGCATAGCAGTGTACTTGATGCCATGTAAAAATGGATCATCTTCATTTTCCAAATTTAAGTATGCCGTCCCACCCAGTGGATGTGTGTTGCTCTTCGTGAGTTGTTTGTATATCTTATCAATACTACTGGAAATATGTTGGAAGGCATCCATAAACAACTCGTACCTGCATTGACCAAAACAAGAAAACAAAAAAGCTAACTGCATTACAATCCAAGGCCACAGAACAGATGGTAGGTGTTGCAGGAGATCACCGTAAAACAATACAATACTGCTGCTTTTCAAAAGTGGAATATTAAAAATTTCTCTGTCTAGTTCTTATCCTATAGAAAACGGCTATTTAACAGAGCAGAATCGCATGTCAATCATCTTTCATCCACTGAATTGTGTTTTATCTGGTAATAGTGTAGAAGCAATTAGTACCTCTTCTGCTTAACTGAGTTAAACAGATCAGCTTTTTCCTTCTCTTCTATTCTAGCCACTTCAAACTCTTCAGTTACAGCTCTTTCCTTTTCTTTAATAGCCTCATATTGGTCCAGGGCCTTCAAATTTGGAGCTGTTTTTTCAATTTCTGAAATTACGGCATCCATTTTTTGCTTAAATTCCACCTCAAGCTTCTCCCGTTCAGATGGCCTTCTGTCCCGCACATGAGACTTGTTTAACTGACTAAAATCAAAACATGGGCCCATTGTGGAGGAATCAGTCTCCATTGGGTCTGAGATGATGGGAAGGTTTATTTGTTCCAATTCACATTTCTCTACTATTTCCTGCTTCTGTGACATCAGCTGCTCAATCTGTGACTCCTGTAAGGTGAGAAAAACATACATAAGCCTTTTAAATTTACCTAGAACAAGGTCCACAACTGGTGAAAACAGAACTGAACTCCAACCTTAGCATGTATCTGTCGATTAAGTTTGGATAAACTTGTTGTAGCTGTAGAACCCCGCTTGTTCCATTCTTGGATTTCCTTCTCACACCCTTCTGACTTGGATTTCCATTCTAACGAATAGGAAGAGACATATTAAGAACTAAATCTCGGGCCGATTGAATAAAAGCGTCAAAATTTAATTTCTTGGAAAACAATATGGTCCCATTTCATACCTTGTATTTCTTCCTTCCAACGATCGATCTCACCAGAAGCTTTTTCTGCTGCTGACTTGGCTGCAGCCTCTTCCTTCTGAACCCGTTCTAAAGCTTTTTTAAATTTACTAATAGAATCTTGGAGTTCGTTAATTCGTGATTCCATGTCCCGGTTTTGCTCATACTCTAACCTGTAAGTAAACAAAAATAAAAGTATTGCATAATATGATCTGAGTGAGCGCCACGGCTGCCATACAACTAGTAAATAAAAAAAATGAGAAACCTGTTGATTCCAAACAGATATTACAAAACGAAGGAAATGAAACTCTTAACAGATTTAAACTGACATCTAAGTTGATATTTGCATGTATTGAATTGAGAGATAAATGGAGGGGGAGGCTAGGACGTACTGGTACTTCAACTTTGAAAGCTGGCTACTCAAACTAAGCCTCTCTTCAGCCATATATTGGGAGGCCTTGAGTTGATTTTCCTCGTACTCACGGATGTTTGCCACCCCAACAGATCTACTAAAATCTTTGTAAATTCTGTCAACAATTTCATTTATCCTCTTCTCAAGCTTATTGATTTCCTTGCTTCGCTTATCTACAGCTTGCTTTAACTGCAAGAAAAATTGAAAACTGCTGGAACTACAGGCTTGAAATCAAATATTGCAATAAACTAGATGACGAGCCTTGTCGTAGAAAAATCAAAACAAAAAACCTTGAGAAGTTCAGGACTGCTGCGATCAATCTCTTCTTTTATATTCTGCTTTTCCCGCGCCAAGGTTGCAAGTTTGTCCTTAATGCTTTTCTGAAACAAAAATTGTCTTATTTGTCATCCGCCAGAAATTTTCATTGTATAAGATAATAAAATCAAGAAATAACAATGTCATTTTGCTTTGCAGTGCATACAGTACACCTC